CCTGCTAAGGACGGAAGGATGGAGAGGGAGGGAAATGGTCTCTGGGGATCGAGACCTGAGTTCTGGCTTCTGGTGGTTTGTTTTCTACCAGGAAGAAGCTGACTCAGTTTCCCTGTGGCTCTGCCTACTCAGACATAGCCCATTCTCCCCCACTTTGCTCCTTAGAGCCTCCAGAACCACCCCTAGAGATAGAGCCCATGCCGCAGGCCCAGGAGAATCCCTCCCCGCCCACTCCCGGTCCCCTGCAGCCGGAGGAGGAGCCAGCTCCAGAGCCCCAGCCCAGCTGCCAGCCCTCCTCCCAGGTGCTACCCAGCGACCCTGCCAGGTGAGCCCCCCTGAATGCCACGCCTCCCGCAGGGAGCAGAATCCGGGCCTTGTCCCTTTCCAAAATCCAGCCTTCGTAAAATTAGTTTTGTGATGGCAACAGTAACATGTGTACCTGGAAATGAACAGCCGGATTTCTGGGCCCCTTAGCGGCTGCAGAAGCAGCTTTTTGGCCTTCCCCACATTCCCTACAGACTTCTGAGCTGGTGAGGCCATTTCCTGGTATACCCTCCCTGGCAGGAGCAAGGTTGAACACTCTTCTGTTCCTTGTTTTTACTTGAAAACTATCTTAGAGTTCCTTATAGAACATAGGACCACTTCAGTCTTCCCATAGCTGCATATGGGTGCCCCGGCTTTCACATAACCATTCAGTTTCCACTCTTTGCTGTAGCCAAAGTCAGATGTGCGCTGTCTGACTCAAGCATGGATAAATCAGCAGAAATGGAGCTGCTGGGCCATAGGTTACATGCATTGCACGTTGCAGTAGGTGTTGCCAAGTGCTCCCACCGGTACAGGGTGTCAGAGGCCTGAAATGCACATGCGGAGATGGGATCAAGACTGGGGGAGACTGAGCCTTGTCCTGGGGCCAGAGCAGTAGCCAGAGAGGTTTGCTAGGGAAACGAGAAGGGGAGGAAATGACGTAGGCATGTTACCTGCCCGTGTATGTGGGGGGAGCTGACTCTGGCCCTGGTTTCCCCATGAGCCTGCCTTCTTAGCCAGCACAGCCCGCTCTCTCCCCCTGCAGGTTGGTAGCGTGGGTCCTGCACAGGCTGGAGATGGTGTTGCCACAACCGGTACTCCATGGGAAGGCTTCAGGGCAGGTCAGTGGTGGGCCTGGGAGGGGGCCTGGGTGCTGGTGGGAGGGGTCTTGGGAGCTCTGGGAGGGGTCAGCCTGTGTCCCTGGAGTGGGGGAATGGAGGCATGGCAGGAAGAAGGGAGCCTGTGGTAGGAGCTCAGCCCCTAGCCTGCTTGTCCGTTGCACATGCGTGCACCTCCGAGGCACTGCAGCCGTAGGGCTAAGTGCTGGGCCAGCCCACCTGCCAGGAACTTGTGGTCCAGGGGGAACAGAGAGGAAGTAGGGGGCAGAGGTGAAACTTCCTGGGAGCACCCAGGAAGTCTTCCCATTGGAGGTGGCCTCTGCGCATGTACAAAAACAGAGACCTGGAATGTTCTGGGAAGTGGTAGGGCTCACGGGAAGCCAGTGCACCCTGTGTGTATTCCTGGCAACACAGGACTCCCACAAGGGGAGGCAGGGCCTCTGTCACCCTGCCTTGTCCTTCCCCAGGCACCCGGGACCCGGCCCTACTTTCTCAGGGACAACTGGGCGCCTTCATAAAGCACCTGGAGGTGGGAGACAGGAGATCTCATCTCAGTCCTGGCTGTGTGACCTCAGCCCTGGCCCCAGCTCCCTGGAAACCCCAGTTGTCCCAACTGAGCAAGGGGCTAACAGTCCCTGCAACCACCCAGGTTGTCAGAATGCAGGGGTGGGGGCAGAGGAAGCGTACCTTCAGGGTTTCCAAGAGGAGAAAGAGGGGGCCTAGAACAGAGGCAGGAACCGTATGAGACGAAGTTGCTCTCACTGGGCAGGGACTGCTCAGAAGGCAGCGACAGGGGAGGTGGGGCTGGCAGAGAGGCCTTCATGGAGCTGAGGGCTTTAGGACAGTCCTCCAAGGGAGGATGGAAGGAGGGTTTCCTCATACCGAGAGCAGAGGAGAGGGTGGAGAGCCCTGCGTGAGCAGAGGCGCTGGGATGGGACCTAGTGATCTAGGTAGGAGAGGGACGGGAGGAAGGAGAGGCAGGCCAGGGGTTGGGCCTGAGGCATGGGAATTTTTTTGGGATGTCACATTAGGGAATAAGGAAAGCCCTTCTTGGTCTTAACACCCCTCTTTGCTCCGGTGGTCAGGACGGGTGGTTGAGCCGGGGAGGCTGCTGGGGTGGCCACGATAGCTTTTCCTTTCCTTCCCCTGTAGGAGGCTGACTCCCCTGAGGCCTGTGGCCTGCAGACCAGTGAGTGACTCCTTGGTGGGTCCTTGGGTGTGTGGCGGAAGGGTGGCTTGGTGTCCTTGGGTCTGGGCACACAAGGCAGTGGGGCTGTCCCTGGCCAGGTCTGGATTCACCTGGGGCCACAGTCAGGGTCACCCAGAGCTGAGCGCCTCATGCTCTGCAGCTCCCCCTTTGGTAGCCTGTTCTGCTAGCCGGAGCCGGGCCTGGAGCCAGCGGCAGCTGGAGGTCCCCTGGCCTGGCTTCCAGCTTCCACGGAGAAAACAGTCTGTGCCCCAGCCCCTGCCCTTTGCTGGTAACACCCTGGCAGCTGGACAACTGGGTCTGGCTAAGCAGAGTTCTGCTGGGAGGTGGGGAAAGGGGTGGGATCTCTCTGGAGGCTCTAGCAGGCTATCTGCCCCCTCCCCCCAAGGGGCCTACGGAGAGGCTGATCTCCCTTGAGCTGGGAGAGTGGCCCCCTCACTGTGCTGGGTTGGGGAGGTATGTGGTCCATTTTATCTCAGCCCTGAGTTAGGATGGGAGGCCAGGATGGGGGCAGAAGGCAGAACTTGCTCTTCCTTCCTTCATGGCCTCCAGAAAGGCACATGATGGACAGGCATTTATTCATTAAGTAGTTATGGATGGCCTACTGTGTGCCAGGCCTGCCTCCTTGTAGTGAGTGGGCCTGTGGGTGTTGACATCTGCTATTCCATCCTGGACACAGCAACCACGGGCTGCTCCCCACTGTGTTCGCAAGGCTGAGCCCCACTGAGCCCCACCATGTCCATGGTGTTCCTTGTGAGTGCTCAAAATCTAGGGTGGTCACTATGGCCTGGAACACAGGCAGGCTGACTGACCACGGAGCTCAGGTCTGACCAGAGGCTGTGGGAGGCGCTAGGGTTTACAGTGACTGTGAGGATGTGGTGAGGGGGAGAAGGGCCTGCCAGTCTCAGGGCAGGGCACCCTCAGTCTCTCATGGGCCTCGCGGCCATGGTGGAGGGGGCTGCAGGGATACTTAGGGTCAGAGCTCAGAGAACAGAAGACACATGCCCAAGGTCACATAGCAGGTTTCATGGAACAGCGACCAGAGTCCTCTTGGCCTGGTAGCAGTCAGTCACTCTCTCAGGCTAGGAGGAAAGAGACCAAGTGTTTCCTGAGCAGACGCCCCCACCCCGGCCTTGGACACGCTGAGGGTGGAGTGTAGCGGCCCCTCTTCTCTTCTTCTTTGCTCTTTGGGAAGGAGTGGGTTCTCAGCCATAGGCAGCTATGGTCAGGCCTCCCTGGGGGTCTTGGAGTGTGCGGATCACAGTGAGTGGCAGTGGGCAATGGGGCAGACCTGCACAGGGGCCACGAGCCTGGGATCTCCCAGGGCTGCTGTAGCAAACAACCAAACTGGGTGGCTCAGAGACGGGCATTGGTTCATACCCAGGGGCCGGAGTCCCGAGGTAAGGTGCCGCAGGGTGGGTTCCCTTGGAGGCTCCACAGGAAACTGTCCTTGGGGCTGCTCTCTGGACTCTACACGGCCTTTTCCTCTGAGCCAGAGCCTCCTCTCCTTTCTTTTACAAGGGTGCTGGTCTTTGGGTTTAGGACCCTCCCTAAATCCAGGATGCTCTCATTTTGAGACCCTTGACTTAATCACATCCACAAAAACCCTATTTCCAAATAAGGTGACATTCACAGATAACGGGGTTAGGACTTGGATCTATCCTTTGTGGGGGACACACTTCAACTCATAGTGAGTGATTCCATACAGAATGGGATATTCATCTCTTCTTTCCCCACTCTTCCCCCGGCCTCCCCCATCCATTCACTCATTCACTCACTCCTTCACGCCCTCACTTACTCACTCACTCACCCCCTCACTTACTCACTCACTCACTCACCCCCTCACTCATTCACTCACTCACCAATTTATTCCTTCATTTATTCACTCCCTCACTCATTCATTCACTCATTCACTCACTCCTTCACCCCCTCACTCACTCACTCACTCACCCCCTCACTCATTCTCTCATTCACTAACTCACTCATTCACTCACTCACTCACTCATTCATTCACTCATTCACGTGCTCCCTCACTCATTCACTCACTCACTAATTTATTCCTTCACTTATTCACTCCCTCACTCATTCATTCATTCATTCACGTGCTCCCTCACTCATTCTTTGGTCCCTCATTCACTCACTCACTAATTCATTCCTTCACTCATTCACTCACTCATTAATTCACTCACTCATTCACTCCCTCACTCATTCACTCACCCACTCACTCACTCACCCACTCATTCATTCCCTCCAGCTGTCCACCCAGTAGCCCACCTTCTGTCTTCTCCTTTGTTTCAGGGATGGTGACAGCAGGAGGCCTCTGAAACAAGGGAGAAGGGAATCTGGGAGAGGCGCAGATGGACAGATGGACGGATGAATGGATGGAAGGAAAGAAGGATGTCCTGAAGAGAAGAACTTCGGGTGGGGGGAGGGAGGTGGTGGCCATTGAGCCCCCACCATCTTTGAACAATGAACACCTACCCCTCCCACAACCCCAGGCAGGGCGAGGGAGCCAGAGCACTCACTGCAGCCCCAGAGCGTCCTCTCAGGGTGCCTGGCGGGAGGTGCAGGGGGTTTGAGGACCTAGGTCAGCAAGGGAAGGTCAACCACAGGCAGCCTGCGAGATTTAGGCTGGCCAGGGGAAGGACTTCCCACCAGAAGGCTGGGCAACGCCATGGGAGGACTCGATACTGGGCACCTCACTGAGAGGTACCCAGCCCTCAGCATGTGCCCACACAGCCAGAGCCCCTGCAGACATGATGTTTCCACGAGAGGTTCCCCTCAGGCCTGGCCAGTTCTCTCCCTTGAAGGGCGGGAGGACAATGACAAACATTTAATAGCATTAAAAAACCAAAAATGAACACATCAAACCTGTGATTGCATGGTATTATTGCTAGGGTAAGGCCAAAATATATATTTAGGCTTTAATTTTTTTTAAATTTAATTTAATTTCTTTCTTTCTCCTTCTGAGAGGGAGAGAGATGACTTCCCCCAAGTGTGTCCTCATGTCATGATCTGCCTCATCCTAGCCGGCCTACATCCCAGGCACGTACCTGGCACGCTCAGGGAGGACCCAGGATATGACCCTGGGACCTTTCCCATGTGGGTCCAGTCTCGTTACCACTGCACCACCACCCGGCCCCAGTACTTAGGTTATTGAAGTGGGCGGGCTAAATCAGCAATGGCCTGTGCAGGGCTGCAGGGAGGAATCGGCTAAGGTTCCTGAGTCAGGTGCCCTGGGCCCCAGCTGGTCCATGCATGTCTTTGGGACAAAGAATGATATTTTTTTTTTTTTTGCTTTGTCTCACCAGAGAGAGACAAAGAGTCAGAAAGTGAGAAATCGCCCCCCAGGAGAGATGGCCATGCTGCAATCCCTTCTCCATGCTCCTCTGATTTTGGACACGCACACACATGCGCCTGGTGTGATTTTCAAGCCACTGGTGATATCTCACGTTTCCTCTCACTGTCTCTCTGTCTCTCTCCAGCAAGCCCACGTGTCCTATGGCAAAAATAAAATAAAATTAAAAAGGAAAGATTTCTCTAGGCCTGAGCGAACAATCAAAGCAGAGCCACATCTAGAGCCCCTGGAGGTAACTGTGAAAAATATCCCTCTCTCTGACCTAATTAAAGGGTACGAGGAGCCTGGAAATCTGCCTTTTTGAGAAGTACCCTTTGCCCCGAGGATTGCGATGATGGGCGAGACTGGGGCATACCTGGAGAAATACCCGTGAGTGAGAGGTTACACTGTGGGGCCAGGAGGGAGGAGAGGCATGCTGGCATAGGGTGAGGCAGAGAGAGGGGTATGGCGACCCAGGCCTGTTAGACAGAGGCTTGGAGCCAAGGTTCGGGGTTTGCCAGCAAAACCCCTGGATCTGGGTGGGGCCTCCGTTTAGCGTCCATGTGCCCAGGCTTCCTATCTACTGATTCTGGAGTCCCTATCTCCTCGGGGGCTCCTTCCCGAGGAAGCTGCTGCCCTTCACTGGCTGGGGTCACTAGTGCTGCCTCCCACTTGGCAGGTGGCTTTGGGCAGGTCACTCAGTGACTCTGTGGTCTGTGAACTGGGGAGAGTACTGTAGGCACACTTCGGGGTTGCTGTGCAAGCAAAGGAGCTCGCAGGCAAGGGGTGTTCTGTCCCCCAGATGTCTCCTGCTGTGCCCAGGTGGGAGCTTGCACCCCAGGGGGCTGCTTGAGCACGGCTATGCCATTGCTGGACAGCAGCGTAGAATGACACACCCACCATGTTCCGCCTCTGGACTTCAGGCCACACTGGGAAGGCCCTCCCTGGACAAGCCCAGGGATATGGTCAGAGCAGAGGGGCCAGGAGCGACCATGAAAAAGGCTCAAGCAAGGCCCATGTGGTGGGCTTCCCAGCCACCTGCTCTGGGAGAGAGGTAATATCTGAGCCTAGAAGTGAGAGCCCCATGCCGGGCACCCAGGAAGCACCCCATGAACAGAGGTGCTAATCTGTGTCTCAGTGTGCTCATTGATAAATATAAAAGGGAAAATATAATGGAGATGATCATTTATTCCTACCTTAAAAGGCTGTTGTGAGGGACCAGCAGTTGGCGTAATGGCTATGTCGCTGGACTTCCATGTAGTTGACCACGGTTCGAGTCCCGGACCTGGTGGCTTAAACTCAGGCTGAGCAAGTGTGCATGCGTGCCCAAGATCCTGAGAGGAGAATGGAGAAGGAATTGCGGCATGGCCATCCCCCCTGGGGGTTGATTTCTTGCTTTCTGTCTCTCTGTCTCTCTCTGTCTCTCTGGCGAGTGCACTCACCCTATAAAAAACCTCTCAATAAATAAATAAATAAATAAATAAATAAATAAAAAGGTTGATGTGGGAACCAACTGAATTAATCCATATACTGGGTTGTTGGAAGTCATGATGTACCTTTTTCTATGCAAAATCGTGTCATGACTTACCCGATAACCCAATGAACTACCAAGTACAGGGCCTGGCACACAGTAGGACTCAATAAATGCAGCCACAGTTACTGCAGTTACTGCTGTTATCATGACGCTGCCTGTGAACAACCTCCAAAATCACAGGGTGAGATTGAAGCCAGCCTCCAGTGAAAGCCACTGCTACTAATTCACGCTGGCCTCGAGGGGGACCAAGGACCCCGAACCTGTTTGGAAATACCTGGGGTCTGAGGAATTTGCCTCCATTCCCTGATACCCGCCCTGGGGTGGTCTCAGTGTCTCAAGGGGACTCCCTGGTTCCCACGTCAGCCAAGATCATGTCCCACAGGTGCCCACTGTCAGAGACCAGGGTACGTGAGGAAAGGTTGAAATGACAGACTCCCATCTGTAGGCGGATCCACCCCCTGAGAAAGTGGAGTTCTCTTGGAGGGCAGAGCCTCTAGGCCCAGAGGGAAGGAAGGACTCCCAGAACAAATACAGAGATCACGGGAATGCTGCCCGCAGTGGGTGGCATCCAGAGAAGGCATGGGCAGTTTCTCTATACCCCTCAGGGCAATCTAGGCCACGTGGCACTTGAATGTGGCAAGGCGGACCCCAAGTTCGGGTCTCCTGGCATCACCCGAGATTCTGTGATTAGAAAGTGTTGTTTCTGCTTCTGCACAGACCTCCAAGGAGGGGGCCCCATTGAGAATCAAACTTGAGTGACTGTGATGGAAGCCCTGTCTCAAGAAGGAAAAGAGGGAACAGAATGGAAGGGGACAGGGTGAATGATTGCTTGAGCTCTGGTCTGGTCAATGGTCCCAATGACAATGTGCCATTTCCCCACTGCCTGGCCAAGAGCTGACACGCTGCTAATGATGGCCAAGGCTCCCCGTGGGGTCCCAAGCGCACTGCCCTGCACCCCACAGATGGCTTCTCCTGTTTCCCCTGCAGTCAGCATTCTCCCTGAAGGGCAAGTGGAGCCTGACCTCGTCCTAGAGGAGGTTGACCCTCACTGGAAGGATGCCCACCGGGACATCAGCACCAGCCCAGCGTGTGTGGTGGTGGTTTCAGTGTATGAAGAAGAGATCGAGGCTGTGGAGGAGAGGCCCAGGTGGGGAGCAAGAGAAGGCCCTGAAAACAATTAGGTCTTGTTTGCGAAGGTTACAGGTGGGTAGCACAAAATCCTAAAGGCACAGAGCAGAAATCACACCTGCCGCCCCTCCTCCCAGACACCCAGCCCTCTCCCTGTGGGCACAACAGCTTCTACGTGCCATTCCAAAACCAGCCTGGGCATGTGCAAACATGTATACCCTCTTTCTGTTATTTTGCACAGAAGGTAGCATGTCACACGCACCTATCTGCACCTTACTCCATTTGTTTAATAATATACCTTGGGATCGTTCCACCTTTAGTACATAGAGAGCATCCTCCTTTTTTATAGCTGTGTGATATTCCACCATATGGATATACCATATGCACTTAACCTGTCTGCTAAGAGGGTCATTTAGGTTGATTTCAAAATGCTACTATGGACAATTCTGCCATACTCTTGTATTATGCTTGTGTACCCATATATCTGTGGGATGAGTTTCCAGAAGGGGGATGGGAAGGTAGAATTGTGATAGTGATTGCCAAATCACCACTGTCCATGGCAATGTCATAGTCTTCGAGATAGCCACTTAACCTAGGAGGACTTGGGTTCTCAAACCTGTGATCTACATTTTTAAGATGGGGAAACTGAGGCCCAGAGAGGACCAGGGGCTCACCCAGAGTCACCACCAGGACAGTGGGGGCTGGGACAGGCCCCTCAGGCAGCAAAGTAAACATCTTGCCAGAGCGTGTCCAGGGTTCTCACTCAAGTGGGACTCCCCAGGTCAAGCTTTGGTTGGAGGGAGGAATGGGGGCAGGAGGTAGACTCGGGGGCATCTGCCTATGGGCTCACCTCCTGACTCTGACTCCAACTCAGGGAGCTGTTTCAGATTCGAGAAGAGAAAGAAGATGAGGAGGAAGATGGAAATGAGGAAGAGGAGAAGAAGGAAGAGGAGAGAGAGGAAGAGGAGAAGGAGGAGAAGGTCATGGAGGAGGAGCAGCCAGAGTAAGTCACTGTCCGCCTGCTATGAGATGCCCTGGAGAGGTGGGGCTACAGTCCTGCAGTCCGACTGCTGGACTCCTGGGCTGAGGAGCTCCTTTCCTTCGTTCTGTGCTGTGCGCTGCTGGGCACTGACCAGAGAGGCTGAGAGAAGCTGGGGTCCCCCGCTGTGTCCCCAATGGCCTGGGAATCCTATTACCCACCACTCAACCCGCATCTCCCAGTCCCACACACCAGAATGCAACCTCCCTGAGGGCTGGGACTTCTGTCTGTTGTTTCCAGTGCCATGTCCCAAGTCCCTAGAACAGTGCTTGGCACATAGTAGGCACCAGATGAATGTTGGCTAAGCACATGGATGGATGCGCAAAGGGACACCGCAGTGGGTTCATAGCTCTCCCCTACTGCCGACAAAGCCAAGACCATCTTGCCCTCCACGCATGATCCCAATGATCCCAGGTTTGCCTTAGGCACCCTCTAAGGAGGTCCTGGGTTATTCGTAAAGATTCCAATATTGAAACGCACAGAAGAGTTCAGTTAAAATTCAGCTTAGAAAAAAGAAGACCAGGAATCACTGTGGGAGGGCCTAGATCACGGTGAAGTGAGAGATGCAGCACCCTGCAGGGCTGACCCTTACGAGAAGGCTTTAGGCTTGTGTGCAGAGATCTCCCTAAGCACCCTGTGCACTTGTGTGCTTACGATCTGGGGCTGGCTGAAGCTGGGGGTGGATCATGGCATGAAGACCTTACCGGGGATGCTATCTCTCTATCTCTTTCTCTCTGTGTGTCTGCCTTGCTCATGGAGCAATTAAATATGCTTAAAAAATAGACCCAGGGACCAGCAGAGGGTGTAATGGTTGCGTTGCTGGACTCCCGTCTAGTGGACCGTGGTTTGAGTCCCAGACCTGGCACCTTGAAACTCATACCAGGTGTATGTGCGTGCGTGCCCAAGATCCTGAGAGGAGAATGGAGGAGAAGGGCCTGTGGCATGGC